ACGATCTGGGTTGCTCTCATGAGGCCCGAGAAATGTTGCTGTTCATATGTGCTTGTCGTAGGGGGGATTGCTGCCTCCTTAGAAAGTATGGCCGAGTGGTAGTGGTTCGAAAGGGAGAATAGATTTACGGCATCTGTTCTCAGTGGTTTGTTGAAGAGGCGTAGGCTTCGAGTATTCGAAAAGTGTGTGAACGAATGCAAGAGCTTGCAGTGATCAGTTATTAAATGACTCCTTGAAGATCAAATTTCACGGCGTATTGTGCTCGTGCTTGTCTAGGCGGACCGTTCTTCACGCAGTCCAGAGGATTCGTGACACCGTTCATTTGTTGTTAGTTCCGAAGCGATCTCTTTTTTAAGCGTTTTATTAACGTATCAATTGCATTCTTGTCTTTAGTTCCTCCAACAAACTTTGAAGCATGTGAACGATGCGGACTGGAAATGTTGCCTGGCTGCTTCCATTGGAAAGCAGATTTCACTTTACCACTCTTCTCCACAAGGCAAGGTAACTGACTGGGCAATGAACTCAATTTTTTTAACTATATTGGTTTGAATTAGGCAACTGCTATATATACTGTGATAATTATTACTTTTTCAGGTGTGATTCCTGTAAACAGTTATTTCCATTGAACTCTCGTTTTCTCACCGTCTGTGATTCTACAACTCGCTGTTCGCCATTCAATTACTGTTGAGCTATTTAAGACCTAAGTGCTTCATTGTCGAAAAATCTTTCGAACTGCATAAGGAGCGAGATAAATTATCACTTGGAACTGGGCCAGCAGCTCAGAATCGAACAATATTAACGAAATGCTATTAGGCATACAGCTGGGTCGAGAATAAACAAGTCTTGACCACCAGCAGAACTGATAAAGGAACTCAAAGACAAACTCTGATGAAACAAACCAGAGAAGCTGGACAATCTGGGTAAAACTTCTGGCGAATTGCTGCTCGTTTGAGGGCATGACATAACCCAGAAAAATTTGGTGCAGGCAAATCTGCTTGCGGCGAGAAATATAACATTTGGTGGATCAGTAAACAACACCTAATATAAATTTGACGTATTGGTAGTCACTAAAAATAGCATAAAAAAAGTTTCTACACAATGCGAAAGCTGGTCAATCGGACTGACTGATACTTTATTATCTGATTGACCACCCTTTTGCGTTATAGAATAAACCGTTATTCTATTTATCAGCATTAATTGTGCGATCGTTTCGATTCGGCTATGTATAACCAATTCCTGCATGTCTTTTTAGCCTCCGATAACTGGCGCTATGGTCCACGATAAAATTTTTGTTTATGCACCCAGCAGGTAATGCAGACTTGCTCCACTGTAGAAATAAAGCCCATATGTTCAACACAAACAGGATACGTGACAGAACGCAGCCTTGGCGGAGACCAGTGCGAACGTTGAACCTTGAATGGTTTCGACTTAACGTAGCTAACTCTGACGCAGCACCTGCAATAGGAACACAGTGATTTCATGGCCCTTAGCAGCTGGCCATCTATCGCGTATGCACGAAGGCATGTCCTCAGACTGTTGCGTGGAGCCGGTCACAGGCTTTTTCTAGGTCCACAAAACACATACACCGCATGGGTGTACTCCCACGATTTCTCGACAACCTGGCGCAGGGCAAATATATGGTCAGACGCGCTTCGACCCGGCCGGAAGCCACACTGCTCTTCTTGGATCCTGAGGTCAGCTGTTTCACGGCACCTCCTTTCTAGCACCTTTGCGTAGACTTTACCTGGAAGGCTCAATAACGTATTGCCCCTATAATTGGAGTATTCCTTGTGGTCTCCCTTCTTGAATACGGGTACAATAACTCCCTTTTTCCAGTCCGTGTCTTTCACCCAGTCATCGCAGTTTGACAGACACGTGCTAGCTAGCTCATGCCTTGTTTCCTAATGCCTTGAGCATCTCAGGGCGGATTTCTTCAATTCCAGCAGCTTTTCCGTTTTTGAAGCTTTTCACACCTTGTGTAATTTCATCTACAGAAATAGTAATATTCGTACCGTTCTGCTCTACAGGCGAGTCTTCCTGCTGTTGCTCGGAGTTAAGGAGCTCCTGAAAGTACTCCCTCCACCGCCGAAGAATATCTTCATCCTTGGTAAGAGTGTGTCCAGAGCTGTCCTTCAAGACTCTGAGACTGCTCTTCTTTTCACCTCGGAGCCGGCGGATGGTCTGCCAGAATGCCTTGTTTGCCGTGAGGAAATTCGACTTCAGCACCTCACCGAACATCTCCCAGCAATTAGCTTTGGTTTTTGCAACTGCTTTGGTTGCCGCCTTGCGTGCCTCGACATATCGCACGCGTGTAGTTGGCTCTATGTTTCCAAGCCATTTCTTGAACGCTGCTTTTTTCTCTTTAACTGCCAGTTATACCTCTCGTGTCTGCCATGAAGATGTTTTGTGACCTCGTGGCGGCAGGCCAAACCGTTTATATCCGCAGCATTTGCCGGCAGCATCGAGTATCGGTTTCAACATGGGTTATCATCACTGAGATCTGCTCAAACCGTCTTCCGATGTGGTTTGCAAATTTCGCTCTCCTGTCCACCGAAGATAATGTTTCCCATTTGA